CGCCACCAACGAGTGGTATTAAATCCAAGATGGCGACGTCAACAGAACAGACGTCTTCGTCGTCGACCTGCGTAATTTTATTTTCTATAAGAGGATGAATACACCTCCAAAGTGACCCTAAAATACATGTCAGTTGAGATTTTACATCAGAAACTGTCTGTGTGTTAAACATGCTGGCAAGATATGAAATTTACGCTGTTCTCCGGGAAGCCGGTCGTTTGCAGTTGTCTAGTTTCCGTAACTTCAAAGTCCAGGGCGGATTCTGTCATCGCATTCTATTCAGCAGATCAGCGGCTACTGGATTCAAAGTGTCAAACAGCATCAAATGGAGCCTTCAGTTACTGAATCTTGGCGAAGATTGTACAGCTGATGAGCTGAAGGATACATATTTAACACTTGCCAAACGATACCACCCTGACAGCAGGTCACCGGACGCCGATGCCACCAAATTTACGGAAGTTCGAGACGCTTATCAAACCATCTCTGCCAAGTTGGCTGAGGAAGCGGGTAAGCTATCTTCAGAGGAAGTCGTTGATATTCTTGAACCTGACTTCGGAATCAAACAAACTACGCCACAACATCGGCAATATTTGAGCTTTGAAGGAGTTGGGTACGGAACTCCGAGTCAGCGACAGAAACAGTATCAATATTACAGGGCTGACAAGGCCAGTGAGCGCGTTTTTGAATATAATATGCGTAAACATGCGAACAAATACGAGTATAGCATGACAGTAAAAGACAAGACCGCCGCAAGGCAGATCAAAACTTCTAGCGGGATGCATCGATTGGTGGAGGACTTAATTAGAGATTCCATGGAGAAGGGTGAGTTTGACAATCTGGAAGGTGCTGGCAAGCCACTGACGAGAACGGACTACAATCCCATGGTGGACAGCATGACGCACAACTTGAATAAAATACTCATCAACAGTGGATGTGCACCGGACTGGGTCATGCTGAACGGGGATGTCAGGAAACAGATCAGAGATGCGAGGAAATATTTAAAACTACAGAGAAGTCGATTGGGACCGCATCCATTCTGTTATGGTGATCAACAAAGATGGGACAGGACCATTGATCATTTTGTGACTATGGTGAAGGACTTAAATAAACAGATTGACAGGTTAAATATGCTAGTACCGACAATGAGACAGCAGTTACCCCACATGAGTCTAGAGGTGGAAATACAGAGAGCTCTCAATAATCACGTAGTGCCAGGACCACCACAGTGTAAGGAAGAGGTCAGGGAAGTGCCTGAAAAGGATGATGAAGGTATATTCAGAAAGCTGATAGATAAAGTGGGAGGAAGGCTAGTTGCCAGAATGTTGAACAGCGAACAATGACTTATTTCAAAAGATTGAATGTAACATCTTTTGAAATTAAAAAAATAATGATAGTATATTTGTTTTTTTGGATTTATTTGTATTTCATGAGCAACCCTACAATATCCGGTTCATTAAATGATTGTAGTAATTTTCATTGAACAATAAATTACATTTTTTTTCGCAAGTTAATATGATATAGTAGGGTCACAAATTTGATATCCTGTTATATAAGCTGTTAAAAAAATAAAAATGGGAATGGTAATTCAAGAATCGTGAAAGTCCTGAAAGCTTCAAGATATTTATGGTTACTGAGATGCATTGTAACATGATTACTGAATATGAAATCAAAAGAATCTGTCGCTGTAGCCTTCACAGAATTTGTGAGAAATGACCACTAAATATTTACAAAAATAAACTTGAAGTGAATTTGGAAATTAAAATTGGGTGCTGGGTATTTGAAAAAATTAACCAGCGGAGAACATATCAACAATCTAAAAAATGGCGACAATATACAGAACAGCTTTATTGTCAGAATCTAAAAATGGCATAGTTATCAAGTGACATAGAGGGCGTTTTTATCAAATCAGCTCAGTTTCATAGTGTAATGCATTACAATGCGCAAATTAGAAATACTGGGTTGCTCACAGATTCTCTGTTAGGCCAGAATTTGTTTATGCCTTGTTTCTCGAGTTTTTATAAAGCAATTTTTTGAGGAGGGCGGAATAAAATTAATTAATTTTTTCCATTAGATTTGTGTGATTTCCAAAGAATTGTAAGTAAGATCATTTATCGAAAAGAAGAAATGAAATAAAATTTTATTCCATGTATAAACTTGTTTCTCATATGCGCGAGACTTCGGTACTTTGATCATGATACTCCCACGAAAATGCAACTTGGATTTGCTATGCGGCGGGCGGTAAAAAAATGAAAATAAAAATAATATTTTTTTAGCAATTGTTTGCGCTTACAAGTCGGCGGACGCGAGAAATTACGCAGAAATAAAATGTGATTTTTATTTCATTTTCGGCTCCTGTTCATTCGGCGGGTTCGCGAAACAAGGGATAATAAAAGTCTGGCCTTACATACTGTTTTTGCCCTTCTTTTCGTGGCTTCGCTTTGAGTGAACGTTGAACTGATCAATAAACCCAATCATTCACTCTGACAATCAATACATTAAAATGAATACTAGATTTTCCGAACTATAGTTTAAAGGGCGGCGGTAGGCGCACCACTGATGCGCGAGACATGGATCACCTATAAACAAATTCCTGGTAGATCAAAGGACAGGGTTGCGAGTTTGAGCCAATCACGGGCGTTGCTTCGGAATTGCATATTTGCTGAAAATAAATGAAGGCCACAAAATAGTGACCTCTAAAATTGATAGGAATAACAAGATAGCTTGTGGACACCAGTGCAATATCTCGATGCAATGCCTCGATAGTTCGATGGTGTGGTTGCAATATCTAGAAACGGCACTGGCGTGATGAATAATGGTGTGGGTGCAATAATACAGCTGATATCCCCTGATAACAAAGAGTACAGTATAAAACAAACGTGTACAATCAAACGGAAACAAGAGTTGCGAACCAAATTAACGTTGCAGTTCCATGAGTGCAATAAAACATATTACTATAGTAGCCATGAACAATAAAGAATGTTTATGAACTGCACAATTTTTCATTCACATGGAACTCTAAAAATAATCACCTACACCGTGTGATCCCAGGACTCTTGCAAAAACTGTGGTGTTTATCAACGCACATATTGTTTCGTGAAGATGATGCATTCACGCAGAAGACTTCAAAAATGAACAGATAAGAAGAATAGCCATTATAAACTTGGGGCAGATTGTGGAGTGTCACAGATTTCACGCGCATTTGAAACACAATTTATAGCAACGTCGTCCTGAGAAAAAAACAAAAATATTTAGCTCTAAATGAAGCGAGTACAAACATGTTCCCATCATATATGCTCCAGAGTCTCTTTTCATATGAATAACTTCTTCGTTTTTTTTATGTGAAATCTGTGCGTATTATAATGAAGCAAAAAACTGTATCAATGTAAAAAACACAGTGCCAGTCAGTACTGGGGTTTTTCTCTGATATTATCGATAATGTCGTTTAAAATATAAATTTCTGTCGAAGTTATTCAGTCCAGTGTTAGCCAGTATTGGGAACTTTGTGTTTTCTCTGATATCGTCTAAAATATAAAACGACACAAGAGTGTACGGCAGCTAACTTGTGTGTCTTAAACGATAATATTGCGTGTTTAACTTAGACGATAATATCGGCGAAAAAAAACATAACTAGTCTGTGAATACACAGTCGACTTGCGTTTCTAACCTGCACGATAAGATCGAAAAAAACAACAACGTAACTTGACTGAGTACGACTACAGTTGACTTGCGTGTATAATTTAGATAATAATAACCAGTACTGGTACATTCAATACAACACGTAGAACAAAGATACCTTCTCCCTAATGGTATAACTGGTTGTAATTATTTGAGGCTATGACGTTTAGTTTAGTTATTTGCATAATGATATTGATACATTGTATGGAACAAGTGCTCCTTCCCAGTGTGTTATTCTCCTCCCGGATTTGGTGACCAATAATCACTTGGTTCACTCTACATTGAGAAGTCTGTTCTCAGTTTACACTGGTGTGGCCGCCGTTTTTTTATCGTACGTTCGACTTTTTGTATTTACGCCCTCTAGTGGCTATAATATTTCACGCTCTGATATTACTAGTACGTTCTTTTTCTGGTACATTTCGACAGAAAAGTTAGTTCACCGTTAGCGCTCAACGGAGATAGATCCCAAATCGTTTTTAACTACGTTAAGACGGATGGAAGCCGGAAAACATGTAACTGGGGACAGTTACTCCCTAGACAATTAGTAATAATGGTCTGATAGTAGCAAAGTACCAACTATTGTAATTCAGTTTACAAGTATTGGAAGAATATATTTGTATTGTTGAGGTGAGATCGCCTTCGTGTGTCAATGCCTTTTCTACTTCAAGATACTGATGGTCGAACTAGGCAAGGGAGGAGCAACAACGATTAGTATCTAATTAGAAAGCTATACACGTACATGGGTGCGCGTATAACTGGTATATTTTCCCATCTCGAAAACCCTGAGTGGACTACACAATTGTCTTAGACATTCTTATTTAAAACATAAACCCTCGATTTAAATGTGGCCAACATTAAAACTGAAAACTATGTTCTTGTAGCACACGCATGCGCACTGGTTGTTTTTGGTACGTACAATAACACTCACTGCACATGCGTATCAGTGGTTTTGATTTTTCATCTAACGAATACGGCAACGCAGCATGTTTATATACCGGGGGTAATGATAAATGACAATCAGATTTAGTCTACAGTATGGAGTATCGAATAACAATATTAAAAAATATTTGTTTTTGTCGATATTCATCTATTTTTTGTAATTTCTTTACATTTTCTTGGGCATTCAATAAGACAGTTTCATTAGAAAATGTTTTTACTTTAAATATTTATTAAGGAAGACCACTTCTTGTTATGTAACTTTTATTTTTCCTTCTGTTTGGCAATCCACTCTCAATTTGGAAATGATGCTTTAAGTAAATTAATGACATTTTCATAGTTGGGTTTCTTCCATTTAAGTAGTGTATATGGTTTCAGACTTGTGAGCTGCTAAAGTTCGCCTTTCAGCCATATTCAGGAACCCCTAGTATCATGCAAAGTTTACCATATTGCGTCTTAGAAGAAATGTAAATTTCAGTTAGTCAAAGCGTTGTACTACATTGATAAAATTATCTCACCAAATTTAAATATAATTTTATTATGATAAATAACAAAACAGCCAAGGTATTCTTGTTCAAAAATTATTTCAGTTACTTTTTCGCTTGATCGAGTAATTATGCAGAGGTCAATTATAGAATTGAATATGCATTTATAATAATATTGATTATAAAATCGCGAGTAACTTCAGGCTGGTCTATGTAGTAGCTGTATCTTTATTGACTTTTATTCGATAATTCATTACAATTTATATCCATTTCATATTTTTACACTTTTAAACCTCTGAGCTTCTGAAACGTCAACTCTACCCAACCATGGCCGTTCATATAATGGTGAGGCGATAGATGCCTACAAATAAGAAAGGAAAACCAAGTATTGTAAAATATTAGCGGTCAAAGGTTACAGTTAATATGATTGTCGAAATCGGTCCGTGTTTTTTAGGAACATATCTCAAGGGAACTGTATGACGTGGATAAAAAAAACGGGGCTTGTGTATAATAATTCATAACATAATAACACAATTCTGATTAGATTAAATACATATCACACGAATCTTTGCTTTATACATTGGGGGCGCGGGATTTTTTTTTTTTCGCGCATGTGCAAAAGTCATTCAAGTCGCATGGCCGGTGTGCTGCTGTAAGGACTGGCCATATCATTGCAACGGTTCCTGTGCGTTTTAGAAAGAGCAAAGTTATTCCTAGTGGACACGCTGAGCGGTAAGGAGTAATAACATTTAAAATCTTTGACATCGCGAAGTCGTTGATGCCGGGACCAGACGGTGGACAAGCTTGGCATCAGCCATTGCTATACATTCACACGCACTCTGTGTATCAATGAACGTAGAACATGTGCTGATAACAAAGCTGTCGGTCTGTCAGTCTCAGTGTTCCAAAAGAGTAGTGGGTAGTTTACAATTACCCAGCCTGGTGGTAATTTGCAACTGGACAGATTATTAATATTATAGTAGTCGATCACTGACATTTTTTGAGTGAATTTGATATACATAACATATTACATACGGTAACATAACAGTGACAGTATTGAAGATGAAGTCCATTACACTGATGAAAGGGATATTATAATTATGTACACTGAACTTACTAAGGAAATCCCCACTCTCCAGTCTGAAAACAATATCAACAAGTTTGTTATCCTTATTAATACTAACCATCATAAACTAATTAGACACTTGACACAGTATCTGTAAGTGTGTTTTGATAAACACAAACTACATTAATTTTTACTACCTAATCTTATGTTATTTTAACGTTTTGTTTTTTTTACTTACCTTTTCCCTTACTTTTTATTACTTTGTAATTTCATTATGATGTAATAAAACTACATTATTATTATTATTATTAACAACTTTATTACACATAAACCATCATCACAAATCCTAATCTTATTCTTGTTAACATAAGTATGTACTAATAATGTAATATGCTAATATGTATGGCTAGACACTAAGACAGTAGAATGATTCATCTATACGAGTACACGTTGTTGATGTGTGTGATTTACATGTAAAAGAGATCTCTATTGCATGTCGTCCTTGTCTTCTAAAGTTCAGGACTTGAACTTCACAGCCTAAGGCAATTTGGTGTCCTCTCAACCACCAAGTTCAAGCCTAGTAAGTTGCACGCCATATGTTTTATTCTCTAAGTCAAGCCTATCTCACAAACTGGTCAAAATCCTCCAAAAATTGCCAACAACCAATCACAGACTAGCTTAAACAATAGCTTTCCCTGACGATAATACTTTGCAACGTTATTTTCCCCACGCTATCTTGAAAAGTCTTTTGTTTTCGTCTTGTTTCC